GGAACAATATAATTAATATCACATGTGAGTAAAATCATACTGAAGATCATTCAAAAATGGCCAGAAAAGTACATTGGCAACTGCCAGATATTCAAGCCGTATTTACAAGAGGCCACAGGTACCAGAGACATCTTTGCTGAGTCAGATGGATCTTGGCTGAAAGCAGAGAATACTAGAAAGCTATTTATTTATGCTTTATTGACTATGCAATGGATTTGAGTATATGGATCATAACAAACTATGACCACCATTGCGAAGAATAAGAATCCCAGAACACTTAATTATACTCATGCAAAATCTATACCTACACCAAGAAGCTGTTATCTGAACAGAGCAAGGGAACATTGCTTGGTTTAAAATCAAGAAAGGAATGTGTCAGGACAGTATCCTTTCTCCGTACATTCAATTTGTATGCTGAACAAATAATTCAAGAAGCTGGACTTTATGGAGAAGGTGTGGCATCAAGATAGAAGAAGACTCATCACCAGCTTATATTATGCAGATGACACAACCTTGCTTACTGAAAGCAGAGAGGATTTGAAATGCTTGCTGCAGAAGAACAAAGACTTCAATATGCATTATATATCAACATCAAGATGACAAAAATCTTTACCACTGGACCAATAGGGAACATTATGATAGATTGAAAGACTGAAGTTGCCAACTGTTTCATATTGCTTATATCTACAATCAACCCCCTGGCACAGTAATAATGAAATAGAAGACATACTGCTTTGGGTAAATCTGCTGTCAATCAATGACCTCTCTAAGATATTAAGGAGCAATTTTAGTAGTTTAAAGACTAAGGTGCATCTGATTCAAACCATGGGCTTTCAGTTACTTGTTATGCATCTGAAATTTGGACAATGACTAAAGATGATAGAAGAAAAATCGATGGCTTTCCGTTGTGGTGTTGGATAAGAATGGTGAATATTACATAGGCTGCCAAAGGAACAAACAAGTACGTCCTGAGACAGTGCAACTTGGGTGCTCCTTAGAGGCAAAGATGGTGAAACTTCATGTCACATATTTTGGACATTTTATTAGGAGGGGCTGGTCCTTGGAGAAGGGCATCATGTTAGGAAAGATAGAAGGTCAGTGAAAGAGAGGAAGACCCTCAATGAGATGGATTGATACAGTGACTGTCACAATGGACTGGAGTACATCAGAGAGGATGAGGATGGTATATCAGAGAGGATGAGGATGGTGTATCAGAGAGGATGAGGATGGTATATCAGAGAGGATGAGGATGGCACAGGATAGGACAGGGTTTAGATGCATTGTTTATAGGGTTGCTATGCGTTATAGTCAACTCGACAGCACCTAACAAAAACAATCTGTGGTGCAGTGATTAAAGCACTTGAAGGCAACAGAATGATCTGTGGTTCGAACCTATCAACTACTCCATAAGGAAAAGATGTGGCAATCTGCCTCAATAAAGATTGTTTTGTTAAATGCTGTGGAGTAGAACCGACTCATAGCTGACCCTCTGGATGGATTTTCAGAGACTGTAAATTGTGCAGGAGAGGATTTCTCATCTTTCTTTCTATGGAGTAGCTGGTGGATTTGAATCACTTTTCTTTGGGTTAATAACAACTCCTTACTAAGCCACCAAAGCTCCCTAAGAAGATCACAGCCTTAGAAACCCTGTGCAGCCATTCTGCTTAGTCCTACTGGGTTGCTATGAGCTGAGGGTGCCCTGATGGCACAATGGGTAAAGCATTTGGCTGTTAACCAAAAGTACAATGGTTCGAACCCACCAGTCTGCTCTGTAAAGATCACAGCTTTAGAAACCCTTTGGGGCAGTTCTGCTCTGTCCTACATAACGACCTTGGTCAAAATTGACTCAATGACAACACATTTGGTCTGGTTTGGGGCTCTAAGTGCTGTGCTAAGTGGCAATGCCCCAACTTCACGTTTCTGGAAGCCACGATTATACTCAGTTAGTGAACCGCTCAAACGAAAACTGTAGAGAGAAGTATTGAGGAATTTGACATCTTGGGTAGCTTGGTTCCAAGACAGTATTTTTATTTCTTAGTTCCCTTCATCTTTGTTCCTTTTCACTGCTATTTGTACAAAAGGGCCGGGAGCAGACCTGAAGGCCACACAGAAGTTGGTTTCTCCATGGCTCTGCCATCTCCACCCCACTGCTATTTCAGAGGAGGGTAATTTGGGGGTTTTAATACTCAAGGTGGAGAGCACGTTATCAGGCCACCTGTGGACCTCTTAAATGGCACATGAAACCATGTGTGTCTGGGCTTATCGATGTTTTTCTGAGGAAAAGCTAAGTAGGACTCATCAGGGACTGCAGGCTGTTGGAAACACCATTTCTCTCAGAGACTTAGAGGGTTGTGCAAAGACTCCCTGAGCTCAGGCAACAGCAGTGAGACTGTACTTTGACCCTCCAAGCAACCTCATGATCATGGGCAGATCTCCACACCCCGGGAGGCTCTCATCACCTCACTGATAAACGAGGTGATGGGGGCCAGCTATGTGAGAAAGACCTCAACACCCCTCTTCCAGAGTGTGATCCCCATAAATAATGCCTATATCTGAATATCAATAAAGAGTAATGCAAGCATGCTTTATAGAGAATGGAGACAACACCAAAGAATACTTTTAAAAGGTTTCAAGCCGTTACACACACACACACACACACACACACACACACACACACACACTCATCATTGAATCAATTCCAACTCATAGGGATCCCAAAGTTGTGACCTTTACAAAAGTGGATTGTCAAGCCTTTTTCCTGAGGAACCGCTAGTGGGTTCAAACTACTGACCTGGTTAGCAGCCAAATACTTTAACTTCCGCACCACCAATGGACTTCTGGGTTTCCTTAGGCAAAGAGGCAAATGGTATCAAAGGATTGCTGTTTGTTTATTCATTAGGAAAAGCTTTGTAGGTCATATTGTTGGTGCTGTTAGGTGCCGTCTAGTTGTGTAGGTCTCACAGTGAGCCTATGAACATTAGATCTAAATGTCCCCCATCCTGCACCATCCTCACCTTCCCCGTCATGCCACACCTATGTTGTGGTCACTGCGTCAGTCCATCTTGTTGAGGTTCTGCCTCTCTTTCACTAAAATCACGGACAGGTGTAATTGTAGCAATTAAATTTAAAAATGAAAAACAAAATTAAAAAGAGACAAAGAAATTAGAACAACAGCAGTAAAATGAGTTGATGGTCGTAGGGTACCATCAAGTCATTTCTGACTCTTGGTAACCCATGTGGCCGAGAAGAATGGCCCCACTGGGTTTTCTTGCCTGCAATCTGTACAGGAAACAAATCGCCGAGCCCTTCTTCTGAGTGCTGGTAAATGGGGTTGAACCTGCCACCTCTTGGTTAATAACTGAGTGCTTAATAACACTATAGCCATCAAATCCATAGCAACCCTCCACTGGGTTTCTGGGGCTGTAAATCTTTACAGGAAGATACTGTCTCTCTTTTTTTTTTTACTCTCAAGTAGCTAATGTTAGATTCAAACGGTCAGCCTTTCATAGCATACATGCAGCTTATGAACTACACCACCAGGAGTCCTTGAAAATGAGATTAGACCAGCTGGATGAGAAAAGGACACTAAATAATTTTTTAGCATTGGCTTGAGTTGGATCACCCAGTTAAACAGTCGGATTGCATCAGACCTTGTCATTGCTAACTGATCCCTGAGAAAGGAGACTCTTGAAGCCAAGGCTTCTGGGAGAAAGTAAGAGTGGAGTGACCCTCTCCTTAAACTTGTGCCCTGGACTCATAGAAGGATGAGCTCAACTGAAGATCCCCTTTGGAAACAAAGACAGAGGTGGGCAGGCAGGGTTAGAGGTGAGCAGGCAGGGTTAGAAGAGCACAGCTCTGGATGACTTGTTATAAATATGTTTTTGATGTAGGAACTAAGGACTTTTCTATAGGACAGGGGTGGAGGGAGAGGCATAGGTGATTTCCATTGTATCCCTGGCTGAATGTCACCCACACTCTCTTTCCCTGGAAGACTGACTCAGAAAAGGATGACAATTGCCTCAAAGAAACTTTCCCTTTGGGATTAATTTTCCCACTTCTGTGAACTGGCTTGAGCTGTTCTTTAGGATACATTGTCTAGTGGATAAGAGCAAGATGCAGAACAGCATTTTTAGTGTGCTAACAATTGTGTGAAAAGTAGAATATGTAAGTACGTTCGTGTATGTGTTTACATTTATACCGTGAAACCCACCCACTTCCAAATGGAATCTGACTCATATGACCCTGCAGGACAGAGGAAAACTGCCCCTTAGGGTTTCCAAGACCATACATCTTTATAGGAGCAGATGATTTTGTTCTCCCGTGGAACGGTGGGTGGGTTCAAACCACCAACCTTATGGTTAGCAACCAAATACTTTTACCCACACACCTACCAGTGCTTCTTATACCATAAATGGGTTCACAATAAAAAGATACAAGTAAGTAGCTTCTCTAACGGGAAGTAGGGAGATAGGCCAGATGGAGGAATTTTCACTGAATATACCCTCTGACAATCTCTCAGTTTTGAGCCATGTGAATTTATTCCCTATTCAGGTACTAGTCTGGGAGGCAAAGTCCCCTCTCTGGCCCATTAGTCGCTGAGTGAACGCACTTCCCACCAGCCCCTGAGCGAATACTGCTGCCTTAAGCTTCCCTCTGTATCACAGTTGCACCAAGAAGCAGTTTTACTGACACAGACTCAGAAAAGGTCTTTGTTTCTGGGCATCTCCCTCCTTTCCAAGGAGCCCTGGTGGCAGTGTGACATATGTTGTACTCCGCCAATCCACGAGCCTACTCCTCAGAGACGTGGGCAATCTCCTCCCATAAAGATTTACAGTCGTGGAAGCTGATTGGGGGTGCCACGAGTCAGAACCAGCTGGACATCGGTGGGCTGTATCATTATCTCCTTCACAATCTCACTCATTTCACTATTAAATCTGGAGTTGCTTCTCAAAGTCATTCAAATCTGATTATACTTACTTGCTTTATTTTGTTCTTTGCAGGATCCAAGTGGAGTTATGTTGGTAAGTAAATCTTTCTATAGTTTTTGTGGGGTTGGCAGCATGTAGAGGAGGCTAAAATGGAAGTTATTTTAGGGGCTGGGGGAAAGGGGCTCTTCCATTGTTAAAAAGAGAGTATGACTCACTAAAAATGAGTCTTTTTAGCCCCCATCCTTGTAGGAGGCACAGGCTGTACACAGCTCTTTTCTCCAAGTAGTCACACCTGCTCTGCACTTGAATTTATGAATCATAGTGTCTAGTGTCTCTGGGTCCTGTAAGAATTTCTAACACGTTTACTGCGTGAAGGTGTTCAAGTACCTCCCAGGTAACCTTGATCGGAAAGAGGTTCTCTCTCCCCTAGTACTTTTATCACGCAGTAAAGAATAAAATAAAAGACTCCCTTTTGAGAATTTGATTCAGACTTTATATTTTAAGCTGTCAGCATGTCTAGAATGAATTTCTTTTCACTCCGTTTGTGAACAATTGCTGGGGCCAATGATGATGACCAGTCCCTCCCTGTCTTTAATGAAGAGAAAGGAGAATCAAGACCATGATGAGGTTTTTGTGGAACTAATTTAAGAACTATGTTCATCATCACCTTACTGATTTGGTCAGGTCTCCAAGACACCATATGGAGATGGACTTAGCTGGGGTGTTGCAATCAACTGGAAAGCTGGTCATTGGCTAGAACAGGAGCAGAGGCTAAGAGCCTGGGGCTGCTGGCAAGCGCTGGAATGCTAATAATGCCTTTTAGGGTCATTCATGGAAGATGCACACGGTAGATTGGAAAGATGAGTTCAGGAAGTAGAGACCTGACTTCATTGCTAGAGGCGTTCGCAGCAGAGATGCAGCTCAGAAATGCAAACCTTGGCACGTGGTGGCTGTGGCACGCTGATGCGCTTTGGAAGTTGGTTACTACAGTGGAAGCAGAGGCCACAGAAGGAGCTGTCCTAGCTTGGCCAGAGTTAGCCTTTGGATGCCCGCTGGCCCAGAAGCATAAAAAAATCACCCGACTAACCAAGCAGCCACCTAGAGGCTAAGGTTCCGTGAGCTCTTGTATTGCATTGCTTCATTATTACTATTAATTACATCCCTATGAGGTTATTACATGCAAGGCACATTGCTAAGTGGATAGGTAATTAGAAGGATAGGCTATGGTGTGTATCTGGGTGTTATTTAAAGTAGTTCACCATTTAAGTAGAGTATTGTAGGTAAAAATAAAGATAATAAATGGCTCAGTGCTCTGATTGTTCAGAGGAGGATGAAAGAAGGGCTGGACAGTCAAGGAAGGCTTCCTGGAGGAAGAGGGTTTTCACCTGGGCCTTAGAAGATGGAGAGGATTGAGTGAGTCCTGGAGGAAGTGATGTTGACCAATACAGTAATGGCATCAATTGAGCAGCAAGATGGTGTTTGAGGGAAAGCATGTGGAGAAGTTTTATTGGGCTAGGTCAGATAATGGGCTCTGGGTTGTGCAAAGAGTTGTGTCCGTTTATGGATGGGGAAAGTCAAAAGCCCACCTTGTGGTGCCTCAAAAGAAAGGCCTGAATATCTGCGCAGAAAGTCACAGCCTTGGAAGCTCTGTGGCACGCAGTTTTATTTTGCACAAATGTGTCACCGTGAGTTGAAACTGATTCTATGGCAAGTGGGTTTTGGTGTTGGTACTGGGCTCAATAGGTCTATGCGTTGGTTCCCACAGGGGAAGCATGGAGGGTCAGGCTAAGCGTTTCACACTGTCTGGTAGAGGAAGGGGCAGGACAGGAAGTGTATCTGTGTTTTAGGAATAGTGAGGAACCCTAGTGACAAAGAAGGCAATACTAAGCTGCTAACTAAAACGTTGGCAGTTTGAATCACTGCCACTCCATGGAGAAATGTGGGACCTTTCACTTCCATAAAGATGATGGGGGTGGGGTGGGGGAATTGCTGTTGAATCGATTTGACTTATAGCAATCCTCTAGAATAGAGGAGAACTGTCCCATAGGGTTCACAAAGTTGTAAAATCTCTACAGAAGCAAACAACCTCATCTTTTTTGTCCTTTGGATCAGCTGGTGAGTTCCAACCACCAGGCTTTTGATTTGCAGCAAAGTGATTAACCACTGTGCCCCCACGGGGCCCTCAGGACACCCCTGTAAAGATTACAGCCTTCACAAGCCTTCAGGGCAGTTCTATTCTGTCCTTTAGGGTTGTAAAGGGAATCAGATGAGAACAAGTAACACTGTGGCAGGCATTGGAGGTGAAAGGATAGAAATGAGGCTAGGAGGGTTTTGAAGAAAATAAATTGTATGTTGTAAGGTCTAATTTACGGTGAATGAAGTCAGAGGAAAAGAAAGGGCAGGCTGACCTGACAAAGTAAGTGTGGGCAGAATCCTGGGTCACAGGGCCCTGAGGTGGGCTCCATGCCTGCGAGGTGATGGGAACTGTGACAGGCATAGAAAGCGGCTGACCTTGGGTTTAGGATATTATTCTGTAGCATCTTGAACAAACCATTTGAGTCCTTCAAGCTGAGGGAGGGGTGTCACTAGATAATTATTTTTAAACCTGTGGTTGTTACTGGTGCTGCTGAATCGGTTCTGACTCCGTGAGCATGAGTAAAACGGCATGGAACCCTGGCTGGAGCTGCCGCTTTCCATGCAGTCGCTGCTCCACTTCGGCCCATTGCTGCAGCCACTGTGTAGATTCATCTCCTTGAGAATATTTCTTTTTCACTGCCCTTCCAAATTTAGCAATCATGATGGCTTTCTCCAGGGGAAGGCCCTTCTTGATAACATGTCCAAAATATGTAACCTATGGCTCTGGTCTCTCATACCAGAATCACCTGGAATGCTTTCTAAAAATGCAGATTCCTGGGCCTTACCCTGGACCTGGGAGAGAGACTTGAAAATTCTATAATTTTAGCCCAAACGACATCTTTTTTTTTTAGATAATTTTTATTTATTTATTTATTCTTTGTATGTGCGTACCGTCAAATTGGATCTGACTGGCACAGGAGGCGATAGTTCCTCCTTCTTCAGCAGAGCATCTGGTGGATTTGAACCGCACACCTCTGGGATTGCAGTGCAGTTTCCTACCACTAGGCCACCAGAGCTCACCAAATGACTTCTTTTGTGTTCACTCAGACAACCAGTGGATGATTCTCCAGATATTTCTAGCCCAAGAGTCAAGGGTAACTTGTATCTTTTGTGTTGTCCTGTAAACCATCCCCCCCAGCCCCAACACACACACACCTTTAGGTACCATGGAAACATAAATTATGCCTCTGCAGAACTTCCTCCTTCTTTGTTAAAATCCCCCTGGGAAGAAGGAGATGGTTCTAGAGAGGAGAGAGACATTGTGCCAAGAAGGTGTGGGAGGAAATTCCTGCTGCTTCATAGCCATGGTGTGATGCTCCTCAGGGAATTCTGTTGAATCATGTAGACCATTCTAGAAGCACTTTGTCCCAGCCACTGACTCTAGCCAGCCCTCTGTTCTTAGCATGCACAGTTGGAGCAGCTCTCTGCTGAGGAAGCACAGGGCAGGGGCTAATGAGGCATGGCATGTGTGGGGTAAGCACAAAGGCAGATTTGGTTTTCTATTAATGAAATGAGTGCATGTGATGTGGAGTCATGCCTAAGTGACAAGAAGTGGGAGAGGACAGCTAAGCAGGCAAACAGGTTCTGGCTGGTAGCGGGTACCTGGCATAGTGCTGCGGTTGCAGGAGTTGAGGGGCTGTTTCCCTGAACAGGACATGTGCAACCGCACACCACATGCTGGTTTTCCCAGGTTGCAAAACTCAGCTTCTGTGCACGTAGACAGTGCTGAGTCATTCTGCTCCGGGGCTTCCTGCTGGAGGGAACACATGGTAGGATTTCTAGAAGTATGTTGGAAGGGATCTCTAGGCTCCATCCCAGCCCCCATCACTGAGTCACCAGGCTGCCCTCAAGGATGGTGCCCCCCCACGCCAGAGAGAAGAAGATCATTGGATTGTCAAGATGGGACCAGCCCTCTCCTGTGCTGAAGCTTGAAGAATGGCTGCTGGGCTTTAGATGGCTTCTTTGAGAAGAGAGATGGAAAGAGGGAAAGGGGGGGAGAGAGAGAAAGGAGAGAGTCAGAGGGAGGGAGGGGGAGAGAGAGAGAGAAAGAGAGAGACAGGGAGAGAGAGAAAGGATACTTGGAGAAAGAGAGAGACAGAGAGAGGGAGAAAGGAGAGAAAGGAGGGAGGGAGGGAGGGAGGGACGGAGGGAGGGAGGGAGGGAGGGGGAGAAAGAGAGAGACAAGGATGTGAGATACCATCCCTCCTGCTGAAAGCCAGCCCCATAGCAGCCCTGCTGAGCACAAGCAATTTTGCCTTCTCGGAAGTGAAATGCGGCCGCAAGACAGTGTCTAATGAGCTGAGGATCGACTCCAGCCTGCTCCGACAAGTCTGCTCCTCCAGGTCACAGAGTGGGTGCCCTGGGTGTGAAGCGACTAGCAGGAGGTGGGAGGGATGTGTGATCACATTCGGGCCCTTGATGTGGGTGCCGTGTTCAGTTTGTGAAAAGTCACCAGTGTTCATTTACGGATGTGCACTTTGCTGCACTTGTACTCTGTCGATGAGAAAACTTTAAAAAATCCCAGCTGTCCGGGAGACTGATTTTACCCCGACAGATTGTAGGGCAACAAACAAATAAAAACTACTGTGTATTCAAGAGAAAAAGAAAAAAAAAGAACTATTGTAGCTCTCTCATGTGATTTACTGCCTCTGAAAACCCACTGGAGGGTCAGGCTATGTATGGGTTGGTTCTGACTCAAGGGCACACAACAAAAAACAATACGTTGGAACTAGGAAGCCCTGGTGGCCTAACATGTAACGAGTTAACTCAAAGGCATGTGGTTTGGATCCACCAGCTCCTCTGCAGAAGGCAGCTGGGCAGTTTCCTCCTGTGTGATTTATAGTCCATGAAAAACTGCTGGAGGGTCAGCTAAGAGTTAATTTTCACTAGACAGCAGTGAATTGTTATTTGAGTTGTTACAGTGGAACTAACCATTAGAGAGCTCTTCCTGTTAGTAG